TTGTGTTTCAATATTAAAGAAAACTTGTTCGTATGAGGCATCAACTCATATGTGTTATTACTATTTCCATAGACAAATGTGTGGTTGGCAGCATCATAAGAAATGCCCATTTCATGCATAATGTTCAGAAGGTAGAACTTCTTACAGATGATGCCATAGTTATTATTTGCTTTGTCGAGTGGGCAGAACACGTATTTTTCTTGATATTGTTTGATTAAGTTGTAAGGTATGTGTTCTCCTATATCTTGTATCATTAGCCTTGTCAGTAAAGGTTTTACTTTGTCATGGTAACATGAACGAAAATGTTTATATAATAGATTAATCTTGTGATTGCTAGCCTTGTATTTATATTTAAAATAATTTATTATCTTGTTGAGTGTATCTTCAAACACCATTCTAACTTCTTGTCTTGTTATGCCTGTGTCAGATCTATATTTGGTCCCTTTACTCAGTAGTCTTCTGAAACCATCTTCTTGTATGAGATTTACATTTCCTGTGATAACGTGTTCATGATTTTTATCCACATATTCTTGTACTGTATTTGTAGTACATATACAATCGTTGTTGAGTATTTGCTTCAATTTTTCGTTGTCGAGATCTTTCAACACTTTGTTGTAATTGCAAATTTTGCTAGCCATTGTGTTGCTGTACTTATAAATGATTCTAATTGGGGTGAAATCACTGCTCCTTCCATTATCGTTGAGTAGTATATCTCTAACAGTACGTGAATTGAAGATTCTGTTGAAGGGTATTTCATTAAACACCCTGCTTTTGAAACTGACCTCTACATTATGATAGTTCTTTTTGGTGATTTCTTTTGTGGTAGTGTCAAAATGAAAATGAGCTAGCAGACAAAATATTAAGTACCTAGTCTTATTATTAACTCTTTGTAGAAAGTCTGCAGACATGGAGAGTTCAATTAGTTTCTTAATTTCTTCTTTACGCAGGCTTTTGAGCATTCTGAAGTAATGAATAGGTTTGAGTGTTTCACTATTACTTGTTATCGTTGCTATAATATTATCGTATGTGCTTACTTTAATTTTTTTACTGCTTCTTTTTCCTCTATTTATCCTTTGTTTTGTAATTTTAAGAGAGAAGAAGGGATGATTGCCCTTGTACATGAGAGGATTATCTATATTTGTAATGTTTCCATATCCCTTTATGTTATCGTTCAATCCAAAGGGATATGCTGTCATTAGAAGTTTGATCCAAAAAAGTTCCTTTTCTATTAATGTGGTTTTATCATTAGACTTCATACAGTCTAGTACTTGTACCGTTATACCTCTATCACATTTGTAAAAGGATTTGGGGAAAAGTAATCATTTTAAACCCGGTTGTGTGTACCTTGTGTGGAAAAATATTGAAAGATGTTCTACCAATTCTCTTTAATGTATTATTACTGTCATTCCAACATATTGTATCCCACAGCCATTGTATGTTAAACAGTGAACTACATTTTAGCGTTACAATCTGCATCTGCTTCTTTATATGTGTTAATGTATAAATTTGTAACGTTTGATACATGTAATTATCTGTATTAGTTATATCACATGTTCTACACTTTCTTTTACATTTGCAACCCTTGTTATCGTTACCAAAGTCGTTAGTTTGAAGTGATTGGCCCCACCCCTTACCTTGTGGAACCGGGTGGTGGAGTAATAATTTGTAGCGCTGACTTTCGCATTTTTTGACCTAAGATCTAAGCGCATGAGCGGTCAAACCCATACGCAGAGAGCAGACTTTATCATGGCAACTGCAGTGGGCGTGTCTGCGGACTCAGTTGTGAGCGCGGCTGAAATTTTGCCTAAAGGGCTAAAACAGGCCAGGCTAAAACAGCCTAAGCAGGCATGTAGATAACGTGTGTATGAGAGAGGGGAGGGGGGCTCAGCCGGCATGAGAAGACGTTGGCGCGGCTGCTCTTGAGAGTGTGGCATGCGCTCTCGCGCTCAGAACCAAACCCATGAAAATGCCCCCCCCCCAAGATCCGATGCTATGGACTGTAACTAATGCTCACCGGCACGGGATCAGCTCGCTTTGCCAGTACTTCCTCAACAGAGATACTGCACTCGCCAATATAGTGATGCCTGAAGTAAAGGAGATTGAAAAGCAAACTCGGCTGCAGCCGTTATCACTGAGATCAGTTGAAACGTGTGAGCGAGGCATGGGTTTGAGGTGACGCCAACTCACCTCCGCGACCTTTGCGGCTGACCCGGCTTCACGAGTGGTGGAAAGGGAGCTGGAGTAGCGCCAAAGCCCGTGCCCTGCTGACACGCCTTTGACTAACTTCTGTGATAACGACTGTATTACAGTGAATTTACCTGCCGCTGAAATCGTGATGATCCAGGTAGCTCGGATGGACGGAATTGCCTGGAAACGATGGGATCAATACAGGTTTACTCTTTTCTTTTTACCCTTTCTTTACCGTCTTTCTTGTTTCAGTCAATCTTTTCGCCTGTCCTCTATTTCTAACTTAATCAGCATTTCTCTTAACTGTGCAGTATGTTCAGTGAGACCCTAACTGATGAAATGCGCCGTTCCTTCTATAGTTTTACCCCCCCCGATCCAAATTTTGCCACTTCCATTGCACTCAGCGAAAATGAAAGAATGTGGCTCCAAGAACGTTTTCCAACCCCTCTGCATTGGATGTGGATTGCGATCACTTGAACTCTCAGGCACGTTCAGACTTCGCGACGGCAGCGCTTCGGTCGCGCGTTCGACGCAATCGATGCGCATGCTTTCGGCTGCATCGATCGCGTCGAACGCGCGACCGAAGCGCTGCCGTCGCGAAGTCTGAACGCTGTTTCACGCCTTTTTTTATGGGGGGCTCCGCCTCTATGTCGCCATTAAACGAGGGGTCCTAAAAGAGATAGATAGCGTTACCTCACCTGACAGGAGTACAGCGATTATCCCATGCGGAGTCCACAAATAACAATAAAATTAAAAAATAATAATGGTAATAAGAAAATATGTATAATAATGAGAATAAGAATCAGTAGCGCTTTGAGCACAGAACTTACCTTTTCTTATCACCTCCGCAAAGGGCTTGCATTCCAACGCGGAACACTTTCCAGACCGGGCTAACAGTACGCTTGACATGCTCACTTTGATAGGCAAGTTGACGGCTGAAAGGCATGTGATCACGAATTGGTGGCGGTTACTTTTCCCTTTTTCTGAACAATTTTTTTTTGTAATCTATGCAAATGACAGCAGTGAGTGGCAACCGCATAACAGGCTGAGTCGCGAAATGAATTTAAAATCATATCTTCGAACCAGACCACAGGTCAATCAAGCCTTTTGGGACCGTTCGGCTCAGAGGGAACATTTTGAACTTTCCCTTGCTTCTTTTGCTAGTTCTCGTTAAATTAAATGCCTGCTCAAGTGGTGAAGCCCGATAAACTGTTGTGAAATGTAACGATCTCGCCATCGGGGGAGACCGAGCAATGAGAATCGTTATTTGCTGCTCCGCCGCACGCGGAAATGGCGCGCGGTTTTTTTATTTAACTCTGTTAACGATTCGATTGGTAACCGGAATTCATGTACCCTACATATAGCCATTCGTGGCGTTTCGGTTCTGAATTGCCTGTTGTCGCCATCTACTACCTATAACCATCGTCATTCGCGGTGCGACGTCGCACGCGACGCCCATCAGCGCGGTGAATTACGATTCTCTTGTCATAGCCATGTCCATACGATCCGAACTGCGCAGCTTTCTCTATCTTAAATGCTTGTCTTGAAAACCATTGGATCGTTGACTGGTGTCATACAGGGGCGAGGGGCGTGAAGTCTACGAAGACCTGCTAGCTGGCTATCGAGATGTGTGCAATGGCGTACGACTTCCGAAATTTGCTCCTCTGGTATGACCATTTCCCTTTCCTCATCCTGCCTACATTTCCTTTCCTCCCTTCTCCGATGAGGGGGAGGGGAGGGAGGGGTTGGGGCTAGTATGGCGTATATAACGAAAAAAAAAACGGGAAAGTCATCCTGCATCGGAAAAATTCCTTCTTAAAGCCAGATAGGACCTCCTCTGTAGCGACTAAGTATACTCTTTATCCCTGAGACGGGGTAGGCGTGGCATTCGAACATGGCACGGAACTGGTTACTCGTGGGATATTTAAATTTCAGACAACCGCCATCTTGTTCTTTGTTGGGAAAAAGACGTGACCACATTTCAAAATAAAGAGTGTGGTCCTAGAGCACAGCCACAAAGCGTTTAGTCGAAGTACGAGACCACTGGCCTACCCCATCCATATCAGAGATTTCGAGGTGTACCAAAACTACTTTAGATGGCGGCCTCCCAAACGGTACTGTAACTGAGGAGAGAGAGTCGGAAATCCCACATCTGATCCCTTCCAAGCCAGCAGCCTTCCATCCCTCCGTAGTTGGGCAGTAGGTACTGGACCAATCGGGTGGACTTTCGCTACAACTTGTACATCGATCAGGCGTAAAGCTTCCGTCAGTTTGTGATAATGGTGGTGTCATGCGATCCTCCTGCGAAGCGTGGTCTCGGTCTACGAGCCCCTCCCTTTCCCCACGCCCTACCTACCACTTGCCTACAGTTCCCACCTTCCCACTTCTTTCCGAAAATTTCCCCACTTTACCAGCCATTTTTCACCCGCAAAAAGTTCTCATGGAGTGGGAGGAGGGGTGGGAGGAGGGGGGGAAGGGGAAGGTCGTCAGGAACCAACTACCATTTTCAACTATCAGAAATAGTAGTTGTATAGGGAGAAATTTTTTTCCAACGCGGCAAATTTCTCTCACAAAGGCCACATGCGACCCTCGTCTGCCCAAACAACGGCCAATTAGGCACCCCCCCCCTCCCAATGGCAATACAACCCCCCCCCCGCCACGTGTCTTTTCACACAAACGATGGGACCCTGCGTGATCCATCCATAGCATAAGCGAACAGGCGTTCGAACCGACAAAGGTACTGTGTGCGAAAAAGATTGCGCAGTAGGGGATTGGTCATTTCCAAGTGTTTTATTCTTTATCCATATTTCATACTATTTTATCACCTCAGTAACATACCCATGATCATCCAGGATCCTGTAGATCTTCAAAAATGGATCCGTAGGGCAGATAAAATGCCTTCGATCGAGTTTGTGAGCCCTTATATGGAACTCAGCATCGCCTCCGCAATCCGCATCCACTTCCTCTGCAGTTACTGTGATCGAGCCGCAATTTCCAGGAAGTCCTCTTAACATGTGCATTTTATGTCTTGTTTATGTCTTCAATATCGTCGCAGTGAGTCTAAGCCAGGGGACGCCATCGCGTTGTGATAAATTCCTGCAGAATACGCCCCCCCCCCTCCCCATTCCACCTACCACTTTTCTCTAGATTTTTCCGACTTCCTACCACTTTTTCCGGTTTTGTTCCCATTTCTCGAAAAATGTCTGGTTTCCCCCGCAAGATTTTGCTGCCAACAATAGGGAAGTTTTTTCCCAATTCCTCTCGAAGGTAAATACGACCCCCCTCCCACCAACGAGCAAATGCAACCCCCCTCCCCTTTATAGCGTCTGTGAACAATAGAGGTTAACTATCTAAAAAACTCTTTTTTCTCGGACCAAATACGAGCCCCCTCCTGGTCAAATACGACCCCCCCGTTGTGCATTACACAACGATGGCTGCCTCTGCGTCTGTTAGGAGTAGTTAGGAGGGGCGGATTAAGGCCGACTCCGCCTACCTTCCGCTGCTATTAGGCACCATTCAGACTACGCGACGCCAGCGCTTCAGTCGCGCCTTCAAAACGCGATCATGCAGTCGAAGCAATCGCGCATCGATGCGCGTCCAAGCCCGCGACCGAAGCCTTACCTCAGCGAAGTCTGAACGGCTGCGTCAGTGATTGGTTTGTGGTTGATTTAGGAGACAAACAACCAGTGGTAAAACAGTGGTAAAGACGCCGCGGGTGGGCTCATAACAACCCTCTTGACACCGCCACAGCTGACTGCGACGGTGTTAACTGTAGGTACATATATCTATATAAAGTACTTGTAAGGAATCTCTTTCGGAGAATTGCGAAATAGTCAAGATTGCTACTCGGTAAAACATACTCTAGTTCTTTTGTAAACGTCCGCACACTAACAATCTCAGCCAGATAGCATTCCATAAAGCCGAGATAATCGTGTTTTTCCATTTTGCTAGTCGAACTGTCCACGTCGTATCTGCAATGTACACAGTTGTTTTAACTGCAGACGCTAGTGCGTGTCATGGAACAGGATTTGGCGCAACGCAGCCATTCCATTGTTGTCACTTGCTCCGTTCAACAACTGATGGGGAACATACTGACGCCGCGCCCAAATCCGCGCCGCCCGAAAGGAGGAAGTAAGCGCACGTGTGACAGCGATAACTGGCTGCGCTAAAGATAGAAATGGTTTTTGGAATGCATTCCGGGCCGAACTACTCTTGCCCCAGCTGGGCCGCTCCTGCGTCGGCGAATAACTCTCAAAATACGACCTTTCAATTCCCGGTCCCTCAAGCTACACCCGTTCCCCTTTCAGTCCTCATCCACTACAGTCTTCCCAAATAATAAGATCTCTATGCTCCCATATGCTTCTTTTCAAGTCCTTTTTCAAATTTTCTTTCAAAAAACCGTTGTGAGTGGGAGGAGGGGAAGATTGGAACTTATATGTACTTTACTTGAAACAAGGAAAAACTGGAAGTCAACAAACTAGAAAACATTTTGTCAAGATCGCGTAAATACTACGACCCCCTCACTCCAGTGACAAATTACAGCCCACTCGCTCGTAGCAAGTACAGCATCTTGTAAAAACCCAAAGGCGTCTTGTTTTCCGCTGGGAAGGGGTCGGGGGTCTGTTGGTCGTTTTGAGAGAGACGGCAGTCTTACTGTGCGTTTGAGAGAAACTTTGCTGGGATTGGCGAAAAAATTCTTCCTTCTTGGACTTTTCGCGGGTTTATGTTGCCTCTTTCATGTGTACCTACTATACCCTCCCCCCCCGCCTCGACGGAAAATATTTGGCGTGAAAAAACTGGGACTGGAAAATGTGGAAATTTGGTAGGTAAGTAATAGCGAAGGAGGGGGGGGGGTCGTACCGAGCCCTCATTCAGGTGAGGTTTCGTACTGAGGGGGTTGTCCCTACACTACCATTCCACACACCATGAGCTGTACCTTGGCTGGGAACTGGGAATCTCCAACGAACGATGTGCCCTTTCGACAAGGTCTACCCCTCTTTTCCTGGAAATCACCGGAATGTGATGGGTTGCTGAGCTCGTTTGCAATCTCTAAAGCACACAGGGATGTTACTGCTGCAAGCGGATCGATCAACCCTGAGCTATTATTTACCCTGGTTGATTAACTGCATGCAGTTCAACCCGACATAACTCACATCTCGAATTTCATTTTTTGCCGCTCCTCGAAGAAATAATCGCATGGAATTTTTCGCGCAAATTCCGGATCTAAGCTGTTCCATACGACTTCCGTATGACCGAGCCTCTTCCACTTTTCTTTGCCTAAATATGTTGATTGCTTAGTCTTCATTTATAATTGCTATGAAAGCGAACAATGAAAAGATGGATTAGTGAGCGATGAGGTGGTCAATAAAATTACCGTTCGGTAACTGAGTAAGTTGAGAAACCGTGCAAAGTGGGTCACTTCTCGAGAGAACATCGCGATCTTTCAATCCACTAAAACATGCAGTAGTTTGAATTTCATGAGTAGTGGATAATAATAAAAGTGAATAATAAACGATAATAAAAAATAATAATTATAAAAAAAGGTGAGCGCTAGTCCGCTTAGTCCAATAAGTCATCGCGTCCATGCCGAAGGACTCAAGGAATCAGCGCAGCGACGGCTGCATATTTTTGTGCCAACACTCTAATTCTATACATACGTGTCTGTCTCTTTTTCGCCTGTCCCTACGCTATTTTCGCAGCCACGCCTCGTCTTACTCTCAGGTATAGAGAGCATGTGTGAGGGGGCCACGTCCCATCAGTGGCGTTCGACATTGGAGCCAGCTGCCAAGAATGAGTGTCATATTCGTGAACAGGATGCCAACTAACATCAGTATACGCGTTTCACCGATTTTGGTGAGAAAAGTGATGACACCAAATGGCGTTGGCCTTAAAGGCAGTTGGCACCATAATTTGGTACTCGGCCTAGAATGCTAGCATGGTGAGAAAATAGCGTAAAAAAACTAAGTGGAACGGTAAAAACTGCGAAGAAAAGCCACTTTTCTCAACGACTCAAGAGGCAATTTCGGACGAGTTTTCCGGGCATCTTGCCAATAACTACGAAGGTACGGCTGCATATATGTACTCATATATCCATGCAGCACCGCGGCCGCTTCATACCAATCCCTTCGCTTCATATTTTACTTCGCAAATGAAGCAATACGACGGTCGTCCATTTGTGGGCGGGCGGGCGCGGTGGGCGTTCGGGTCGGTATGTTGTAGCTTGATAGGGCCTTATAAGGGTACCTTCCTTGGAAAAGGCGCTACGCAGCGCCTGCTCAGGGTCGCGGAATTCCTGCCACTCGTATTAATCCTAGTCTTCTTAGGGATTTATTGTGCTAACTGCCTTCAGGAATGAATATCACTTTCGTGCTCAGCACATCTGCATAGGCGGGGTTTCACCTATTTTTTTAGATTTGGGAGTAGTAAAAGTAAATTAGTTTCATTCGGTAGAATGAATGATAGCCCAGGTTTGGTGGCGCAGTGGATGACCCACTCTCCTGGTAAGCGTGCCGTGCGGGTTCGAGGTACGCACGCCACGCACCGGTCGTTATTTTGCCGATAACCCAGCATTCTCGTGATGAACGTTAGTGTCTCGGTATGCAGTAATGCAATCTTATACTAAACTAGCGCCCCTTCAAGTGAGACACGAACAGGACCAGTTTAGCCCGTGAATCAACTATGACTTCGCTCCCAAAAAAATACAAAGGTTGTGCCAACTAATTCAACTTATTACGTACCCCAAAAGTCAAAAAACGTTTGTTGAATACTGCGCCCACAGAGCGTGTCTCGTCACGAAATATAGCACTCGTTTCTGGCGTTTGCGCCAAATTTGGCGCAATTTGGCGCCGGTTTGGCTCACTACCTTCTTACGAAATTACGATGATAAATTTGCATAGTAGGTGTCTTTCGATTGTCCGACTCAGGGTACCGCATTAGTTTTCAGGCCTGGCTGAATTTTTTGGGGTGGCGGCGTTAGGACAGTTTCCAGGCCGAGCGGATGCAGATGTTCAGTCACAGTTTCACGACTTAGAACTACCCCTGGGGACAAAGTTTTTACGAATTCGGTCGTTCAGCCGTTTTTGCGCCGACGCCTGTCTCGTGGGCGCCAGCCAGTTTCAGGGTAAGTTGATGTGATATTTGTGTTCAGGAGGTCGAAGTTCCCTCAGGACCCCAATTTCAGCCAAATATGCCCCCCGTAGAAAAATGTCGATAAAAATGCGGCCTGCTCTCCGGGAAATCGGTTAGTCGGAGTAATAAATGCAGTAGTGGCAAAAGTTTTTTTGGTGAAACTTTGCCACTTACTAGCGTGCTCTTTAGTCGCGAACGATAACACCCGCTTTCTGGCGAATCGCTCCTGCTTCCTGTGCTCAGGCATTTACCAGAGCATTACGAGGCGATGGGGCCAAAAACTGGTTGCCATTTTTCGAAATCGGGTCCTCCACTTACCCTCAAATGCGAAATAGTGATGAATTTGGAACGAAAATTGTGGCGCCAAATGGCCGTGGCGCGGCTCAAAACGCATGTTCATCCTTCGGATAATCCTTACAGCCATAAACTTTTAGTGATTTCTTTCTTGAGATTTTGGGTGATAACAGTTGAATGAGTGTCGACAGAGTAAAGAGGTGACAACAAAAAATATCAAACGCAAAAACGTAAACAAAATAATTTTAACATACGTTGGCTTTTATTAGACGAGATATAACTCGGCATATGCGAACTTTGCGTACGGATGAATAGGAAATATTGCTGCTCTTCTATTACCTTGCCTCTTACCTGGTTGAAAAACATTGAGCTTAGCAAAACAAAAAATTGTTTTCCATGGTGTACTAGTACGTGCTGTTGAAACGACTGCGAAATGCTAGTGGGGCTATTTCTTAGGCGTAAATAATTGTTTATGAGCGTAATATTTTTTATTTGATACGTTAGGCAGGTGACTAAAGAGAGAGATCGAGAGAAAACGAGGACAACGCCTATGAACAATCAGTCTAAATTGCTAACACAGAGTAGAGGGACAAGGAGGTCGAATCTTATCGATATGAACCAATCAACTAGGGCCAGTAAAGTTCCCAGGTCACACCGCCCAATTCGGGCGGGTTCAAGCTGGAATGGTTGACCTGCTTACCGACAAGAGCAAAGAGCTAACTGGAAAATGAAGAGGAATAGTGGTAGAAAAAAACACTCCAAAGCCGAGATGAGATGGTTCATTTTGACCCCTCTTAGTACGGCTCCCCCCTCCTCATCCCACCTACCACTTTCCTAGATTTTCCCAACTTCCTACCACTTTTTCCAGTTCTTCCGGGATTTGGGGTAGGGGAGGTCGTCAGGAACTAACTACTACTTATTTTCAACTATCGAAAATAGTAATTGTATGAATCTTTCGCTGTGCCGCCAACTAGGGAAATGTATAACTCCAGGGAAACGAAGCGCAAGAGCTAAACAACCGGGAAGTTCTCCCAACGCCGCAATTCCTCTCAAAGACAAATACTACCCCCCCTCTTTGTGCATCTGTGAAACAGTAAAACTCAACTTATCAAAAAAGATTTCTCAGAGACCAAATCGCTCCCCGCCTCCCCCTGCACGGTCTAACATTCTCACAGGCCCTCCTGCACGGCAATCTCCCCCCCCTATTGTGGTCAACACAACGAGGCGTGCCCTGGGATCGATGAAGTATGTGTGAGATAGGGAAGAATTTGACAAAAAAAATTGATGTTGTACCATAGACACCCTTGCAAAACTCGTGCAGTAAAGTGGGCATAGTTCGGCTCAGTGGGGGCAACGAATGGTACAGGGAATGTCACCTTATAAAAATTGTACATCCCTAAAATCTCAAATTTCGATTATTCCGCAGCTTCACGAGAGTTTATCGCTTTCGCGAAATGACAACTAGGTTTGGATAACATTACCAGGGGAAATAGGGCTAGCAAAGAAGCAAAAAGCCCCTCCTAAGCGAAACAGTGCCGTAAAATGCGCTGAAGGGAGCATGATGAGGGAGTGGATGGCACTTCATCTCTACCTGATGATCTTGAGTGTAGGCGTCAAATTTGCTCCAAGGGGGGAGGGTGGGGTGGATGTGGCGCAACGGATAGGCAGCAGGGTACCTCGTCCGTTTCCGCATGTACCGGATCCGGGTACGGTATTGATGTGCATGACAAGTCTCCCAATCAACTCATCTGGCCGCTCTGGGTTTTTGCTAGGATGGTGTCTGGGTAATGAGAGCGATGCCAAGGCCTACTTTTAGCTCAAATGAAGAACCTGGAAAGGACTGTCAGCTGTCATGGGACCTGATCTCTCGCGGTACCTCCTCTTCCCCCCCCTCCTCTCCCCGGATTCATTCTCCACCTGCCAGTATGAACGATGAATGCGTCGTCTTACGGAAAGGTTGGAATGATCTCTGCGTGAGCTCGGCTGCAGTTTTTTTCGTGTTGTGTAGTACTGCTGATAAGATTACACGACATAGGGCAACGGGACACGAACAAAGGCAGCTCTCACTCGCTGGTGGGCTTTACAAGCTGTACGTCATGATGTCTGTCCTGTTAGATTGCTAATACTCTCGCCCTTTACAGTGGGCTCAGTTGAAATCGCATTCAATGTGAGGTCCACATTGAATGCGATTCAACTGAAGCCACTTAAAGGAACGAAGGTGCAATTCGGGCTCGGATGGGGGCATGTTTCCTTTTTGCTACTTCCAATCGTCGTATTTCATTGCCCTTTACATAGAGTTGAGCAGGCTTTCACCTACACGAGTGTGGCAGGTGGTCTCCACGAACTTTGGCTGATATCATATCTCGTGGCTTCACGAGATTTCACTGGTTTTCACTTGATGGCTCGACAAATCGACGGGAAGTAGCGAGAGTGCAAAATGCCTCCCCCCCCCCTCACCTTCCTCTCTTCTACTTGGGCCGGATCGAACCCAACAACATCTTCCATCCACTCAGAGTTGAGAAATTTGTGCCAGTTTATGTGGGAAAATGAAAGCATTGTGCCTTCTGAAGCTGAGCCAAGTGGGTCCTTATAGAAGATAGAAATCCTCTCCAAATTCTCAGCAATGATACCGAAGTTCACTTATTTTCATGCTCCATGGGAACCATGTCAGTTCGCGATGGATCAGCCATGAATCGCTAAAAGATTTTTGAAAGAGTTCTATGTCGCGGTCAAAGTAGCAGTAGGAGTTCTGGCGCCTATAACTCTTCGGGTAGGGGCATTTAAAGGACTCCTCATGCAAATTATAATTACCGCTACTTTACCCGATCCCCATTAGGCATACATATATTGAAGAAGACAGAGCAATAGTAGCAAAACGATAGT